TCGTCAACTTTTACCATTCCTTAAACTCTGTTATCGTCAACTCTGTTCTCATCAACTTTGTTATCATCAACTGTTTTCATCAACTCTATTATCGTCAACTCTGTTACCATGAACTCTATAATTGTCAACTATTACCATACTGTCAACTCTGTTACCTTACTGTCAACTCTATTATCGTCCACTATTACTATTCTGTCAACTCTGTTACCGTACCATCAACTTTGTTACCTTACTGTCAACTCTTTTATCGTCAACTATTACCCTTCCGTCAACTCTGTTACCTTACTGTTAACTCTTATCGTCAACTATTACTATTCCCTCAACTCTGTTACCATACCGTCAACTCTGTTATCGTCAACTCTGTTACCATGATCTCCCTTATTGTCAACTATTACCATACTGTCAACTCTGTTACCTTACCATCAACTCTATTATCGTCCACCATTACTATACCGTCAACTCTGTTACCGTACTATCAACTCTGTTACCTTACTGTAAATCTATTATCGTCAACTATTACTATTCCCTCAACTCTGTTACTATACGTCAACTCTGTTACCATACCATCAACTCTGTTACCCTACCCTCAACTCTGTTACCTTACCCTCAACTCTGTTACCTTACCGTCAACTCTATTATCGTCAACTATTACTATTCCCTCAACTCTGTTACCTTTCCCTCAACTCTGTTACCTTACCGTCAACTCTATTATCGTCAACTATTACTATTCCCTCAACTCTGTTACCTTACCGTCAACTCTGTTACCTTACTGTCAACTCTATTATCGTCAACTATTACTATTCCCTCAACTGTTACCGTACTACCAAATATGTTACTATAAACTCTATTATTATCAACTATTACCATTCCCTCAACTTTCTTACCTTACTGTCAACTCTATTATCGTCAACCTTTACTATCACGTCAATTCTGTTACCATACCGCCAACTTTGTTACCTTACTGTCAACTCTATTATCAACAAATATAACTATTCCGTCAACTCTGTTACCATACCGTCAACTCATTCATTCATTCATTCATTCATTTTCTTGTCGGCTTAGTCCCTTTATTAATCCGGGGTGGCCACAGCGGAATGAATCGCCAACTTATCCAGCAAGTTTTTATGCAGCGGATCCCCTTCCAGCCGCAACTCATCTCTGGGAAACATCCACACACACATTCACACACACTCTTACACACTAAGGACAATTTAGCCTACCCAATTCACCTGTACCGCATGTGTTTGGACTGTGGGGGAAATTGGAGCACCCAGAGGAAACCCACGCGAAGGCAGGGAGAACATGCAAACTCCACACAGAAACAGCAGCTGAGCCGAGGTTAGAACCAGCGACCCAGCGACCTTCTTGCTAAACACAAGTGTGTTTGTGCGCGTGCGTATGTGTGTGTGCGTATGTGTGTGCACGCGTGTGGTGTCAGAAACTTTTAATTGGTTCCTCAAGATTGTAATTTTAGAAGTCTTATGTGCATTATAGTGTTTCGCTTCTCCTGCACTCTCCACAGACGCCTGTTCTGAGAGATGATGATGATGAATAATTGCCCACCGTCAACTCTATTATCATCAACTATTACCCTTCCGTCAATTCTGTTATCATGGCGTCAACTCTGTTACTTTACTATCAACTCTATTATCGTCAACTATTACTATTCCCTCAACTCTGTTACTTTACCACCAAATCTGTTACTATAAACTCTATTATCATCAACTATTACAATTCCCTCAACTTTGTTACCGTACTGTCAACTCTGTTATTGTCAACTCTGGTACCATGAACTCACTTCTCGTCAGCTATTACCATTCCGTCCAACTCTGTTACCATGCCATCAACTTTGCTACCATACCGTCAACTCTGTTATCATCAGCTCTGTCCCTGTGAACTCTATTATTGTCAACTCTGTTATTGTCAACTATATTATTGTTATGCTTTATAGTTTAACATTTAGTAACAGAATCAGGTGTTCTCTATCACATTTAAGCATTCTGCATTATTTTACAGTAATAATGCACTCCTTCTACTGTAAAGTTTACATTTGTTGTACATCATTGCATAGAAAATACTTCTGGATTCACACCAATGCACTGAAGATGGATAAGTGAATATAGCAGAGGGCTGCAGTTTTCAGCAGTGATTCTGACATGATGAAAGCTGTTAAAGTGAATGATATTCCTCCTGAACTCTCTTGATTTTGTCGGAGATGTTCGCTGTGATGGTCTCTGAGGAGCGGCTTCATCTTCATCTACAGAAAGCGCTTCTCTTTTTCTTTTTTACTGCCAGAGGTGTGTGTTTAATTGAAGCCGCGGCCTCGTCTGCGGAGATCAGCCTTTCTGCTTTCGGCACATTCTCTAGTAGACTTAAAAAAAATCATCCGCTTCTTATGATTAAAACACAATCTTTCATCCGGCAGAACAAGACTTTGCCGTTTATAGTTATTGAAAGAGGAAGAATTGCCTTTATATCATTTATGTAAGTCATTCTTTAACTGTGAAGTGTGTTTTATTAGGCTGTGCGGCTTTCAGTTATAGAATTATCTGGTTTTATTGTTAACTGAAATCTAAAATTATTAAAGTTTACTAATTTAGTTTTAACATTTATTATCAATTATTACAAAAATTGTGTTGTTCTGTTTCCTTTCTCCAATCATTCATTTATAAAACCTGTAAACCTTTAATTCGGCTAATAACCAAGGAAATATGTAATATTATCATTAACTTTATGTGCTAAACCTAAAGTGAGAAGAGAATGAACACAAACACATCTGATCTGTGATTAGCCAATCCGATTTGAGCATGAAAGGGAGTGTTTACCAGCAACCAATCAGGATCTGGAACATGAACGATTGGACTTTACTGAACGATTCACTGACGTCACAGAAGAGGTAAACCTGAGGTAACAGCAGTAAACCTGAGGTAACAGCAGTAAACCTGAGGTAACAGCAGTAAACCTGAGGTAACAGCAGTAAACCTGAGGTAACAGCAGTAAATATTCAGGCGGATGGAGAATAAACAGCAGAACAGAAGGCTGATCTTCAAAGAGTCGCTGATCAAATGCAGAAACTCTGAAAACAAGATGAAAATGATGGAAATCAGAATCAGATCAACAAACAGGAGTTTCTCAGGAGTTTAGTTGGAAGCAAAGTTTATCCCTGAACGCTTTAAACACACACACACACCCACACACACCTGTAGAACAACACCAGATGAAGATGCTCAGAAACACACACTGAAGCACTGCTCCACTAGAGATATCACACTACTGCACTGATTGATTGATTGATTGATTGATTGATTGATTACTTGATTGATTGATTGATTTATTGATTGGTTGATTAATTGCTTCAATCATTCAATCATTCATTCACATGACTGATTGACTGACTAACTAATTGATCAGTATGCTCAGTTTAATTGTTTGTTTAGTTGATTAGTAGATTGATTCACAGATTGATTCATTGATTAGGTAATTGATTCATTAATTATTTTATTGATTCATTCATTGACTGGTTGCTTTATCGGTTTACTTTGTTTGATCGATTTATTAGTTGATTGATTCACTAATTGATTGATTGATTGATTAATTGATTGATTGATTTGTTTGCTCATTCACTGACTGGTTGATCAATTTGCTTGGTTTGTTTTATTGACTTTGATTGATTATTATGCTAGTATATAGTATATTCTAATAGTATCAGCACTGTTCCAGCTCATGTGTGGATGTATGTGTGCTAGTGTGTGTAAACGCGGCAAAAGTACACCTTAACATGAAGACCCTAACCCTGACAGGCATTGTTATAATTTATTACTAACCACTATATATATATACAGCCACTGTGCCTTAGGGTCCCACCAGTGACAATATACAGCTATATCACACTGCTACGAGTCTAATATTGCGTTTATACAACAGTTCGATGGCATAATTGTGTATATAAAGTGAAAATCAAACAGGAAGAGTCGAAAAACCCTTTTGTATGATAAACTATTTTCTTCTGCCATTCATTCACATCTGCAGCTGACGTCAGAACAGCAAAAACCGCTGCTCACGACACTGTAGAGCTAGTGTTTAAATGATTCTCTAGCATAATGTCTAAAGTTAAGACAAAACAGCAGATTGTGCTCACATTGTAAGTTTATAGGGCTGAACAGCGTGAAATGCCATCAGTCTACAGAGATTTCCCAGTGTTTCTCTGCTGCAGTCAGGAGATCTCAATAATTAACCCAAAGCAAAGCAAACACTAGCAGATAACTATGGTTTAAATACAGCACTACAACATAGAGATCGACTCAGAATGTCACTTACCTGTTTAATAATGATTTGATCAGCTGTAGTTTGAAATCACACTGAGTGTTTCTCTTCTGAGGGCTTATTATGCGGTCTCTGTCGCCATCTTGTGGCGGAGCGTCAACCCTCTTTGCTCTGCTCAGTATGACAGGTTGATGTCCGCAGATGTGCTGTCCCTCAGAAATGATACACATGTAAAATAGCCACTGTCCTTATAAATAAACTGCGTAGCTCTGATCTAAACAACTACATTCTTGACTAAAAAGCCTCAAAAGTACATGATGTTGTCCAACAGCTGCAACATTTGTCAAGTTGTCGTGAGTTTATTGATCTGCTGTCACTTTCAGTGCAGAATATCAAACACTTTAAAAAAACAAAGGTACTCGAGTTGTCACTGGGCTGGTACCTTTTCAAAAGGTACACATTTGTACCTGAAGGGTCTATATTGGTACCTCAAAAGTATATAATGGTACCTAAAAATTTAAGAGTAACACTTTAGTATTTTTTTAGTTACTAATATGTACCCTTGAGGGGTTTCTGTGTGGAGTTTGCATGTTCTCCCAGCATTCGCGTGGTTTTCCTCCGGGTGCTCCGGTTTCCCCCACAGTCCAAACACATGCGGTACAGGTGAATTGGGTAGGCTAAATTGTCCGTAGTGTGTGTGTGTGTGTGTGAATGTGTGTGTGGATCTTTCCCAGAGATGGGTTGCGGCTGAAAGGGCATCCGCTGCATAAAAAACTTGCTGGATAAGTTGGCGGTTCATTCCGCTGTGGCGACCTTGGATTAATAAAAGGGACTAAGCCGACAAGAAAGTGAATGAATGGATAATGTACTATAGCTGAACAGCTAAAGTGTATTTTAACATGATCTTAATTAATATCAATGTTATTTTTCTTTTCATAAGTGGTGTGTTGTGGACCTCTTGGCCAGGTCACCCTTGTAAATGAGATTTCGATCTCAGTGGGTTTTTATCTGGTTATATGAAGTTTCACAAACTAATTTCGAGAGGAGCACGTGATATGATTGACTGCAGCTGGCCACTCATCTACACTCATTGGCTAGCCAATCGGATTGATTCAAACTCACTATAAGTAACCTAGCTAAGATCTACTCCCTTATCTTCGTTTCCCGAAGAAACCCCCCATCCACCCCTTCTCCTCCTTTCCTCTTTTGCCGAGAGGAGCTCTCGAGAACACCTGATCTCGTACTCGCCTCACATGCTTTATGGACCTGGCGGGAGCCCTGGCCTCAACTATCTCCGAGCTCATGGTTCTCTCCCGGGACAGCATGCCAAACCTGCTAACAAGTTGTCAAACAGTATCTAAGTGTGAACTCTTGAAATAAAGTAACGTATAGAGGCAGATGGCACGTACACAGTTATTTTTGACATCACACCTGCCACTCCTCTAATCAAACACAAGTGTGTTTGTGCGCGTGCGTATGTGTGTGTGCGTATGTGTGTGCGCGCGTGTGGTGTCAGAAACTTTTAATTGGTTCCTCAAGATTGTAATTTTAGAAGTCTTATGTGCATTATAGTGTTTCGCTTCTCCTGCACTCTCCACAGACGCCTGTTCTGAGAGATGATGATGAATAAATATATCATGCTCTTTCTGCTAATCAGATTATTTCTTGATTTCTCTCCTCGAGGAACATTAGGTTAGGTCACCGCACCGAGATCTAAAGCAGAAGTATTAATATTAAAGGCTTGCTTTTGAAAGACATTACACATGTTGAGTTTATGATTAAAACAAGAAGACAGCTCTGCTAATGGGGTCAGAGAAATAAACTGAAGTTAAATCTAATTAATTTCTGCACGCAGTTGGCAGATATTTGTTCTTGTTTTCAGCACTAACTATGCACACACACACACACACACACACACACACACACACACACACACACACTATGCTGTATGTCTTTGTGAAGCAGTTTTAAAAGAGCAGGTAAAAATAAATGCCTTGAATAATAAAAAATAGAGTCAAAGATAACACAAGTGAACACAGCGTGCCGTTTTTAAACACTTCTCCACACTGCAGCGCTGCATAGTGTGTTTGCTCGTGTTATTTGTGACTAATATTTACTTTTGTTTGATGATCTGAAGCATTGAAGTGTGACGAACATGCACAAAAATAAGAAACCAGCAAGGGGTAAGCGGGGCGTCACGGTGTCTTAGTGGTGTGGTGCTCTCGCCTCACAGCACTCAGGTCTCTGGTTCGAGCCTCGGCTGGGTCAGTTGGTGTTTCTGTGTGGAGTTTGCATGTTCTCTCTGTGTTGGCGTGGGTTTCCTCCGGGTGCTCGGGTTCGTACAGCAGTTTAATAGTGTACACTAAATAACAATAATAATAAAGTAGACTGAGACAGACGCCTGTAAAATCAAATGAAAGTGCTGAATATCAGTCTCAGGCTTTTCTAAAATGATGCTTCGTATGAATACTGCGGGCTCTGTCTGTTCCACTAGTGCACTAGTGTGCAGACTCATTAGGGCTCCTAAAGTGTTGTTTATGAAGTGTGTGTGTGTGTGTGTGTGTGTGTGTGTTTCTCTCTGAGACTGAGAGATAATGAATGTTTATTATTTATTAAATTTATTATTTATCATTACCCTTTAATAGCCCGATTAATGATCTGTGTATATATGTGTGTGTGTGTGTGTGTGTGTGTCCGTGCGTGGGTGCATGCATGTTTGTGTGTATGTGAGATTCTTATATAGATGTGTGTTTGAGTTGTGTGTGTGTGTGTGATCTGTATGTCAGTGATGTAAGTGTGTGTGTGTGTGTCAGGCAGAGGTCATGAAGAATAACTCTCTCAGACAGGTTTATCCAGTGTGATTGGAGAGTTTAATGCGCTCTGAGCTGCAGTTTGATGAAGATGAACATGAGAAATTTCCTAAAAAACATTTAAAAAGCTGACAAGAGCCGTAATCCTGATCCATTCACAGATTAAACTGAGTGTGTGTGTGTGTGTGTGTGTGTGTGTGTGTTTCCTCTAGCGGATGAGCAGATATAGTAAATTCAGTGTGATTTATTCTTATTTTGTTAATTTTTTATTTATATTTTTGGTGTTTTTATTATTATTATTGGTATATTTATTATTGTTTTAATTTATTATTATTTTTATTTATGTTTTAAAGCCCCTATTTAGAGCCTCTATTATGGGTTTTTGACAATTGTCGCTATTAATACACGCACTGCGGGCTACACATGTTCTCTCTAACAGCAGTGCGCACACAGGCAAAGGCTACATCTTCAACTACACACACACATCAGGGCCATACCATTACATAAACTGCATGGGGGTAAATCTGGACTGAACCCTTCACTGCTTATACTACACTTCGCATATTTGGCAGAGCTGAAAACAAGACAATTTCTTCCATCGTGGCTAGTGTGGCGCAGATGCTGGAACCTGCCTATATGCATGCGCGACATCGTAAACGGTTTGGCAAGTGTAAGTGCATGAATTTATATATGGGTCACAATTTAAACAACGTGTAAACAGACAGGCAAACAAATCAGATACAGGCAATAAATCGGAATTGGCCATCAAGACCTGACAGTGTAAACAGGGCCTAAGTTACAGGGTGTCGGCAGGGTTGTAAAAGGTAGCCAAAATTAAGGGCATTGAAAAGTTATTGAAAAGACAAGGCATTACATTTTCAATCACATTTTATTACATAAATGTAGAATTAGTGTCAAGCGCAGGCCTTTACTGTAAACTTTGCATGGATTTATTTTATGTTGAGAGTAGGACCTGATATCATGTGAGGTGGTGTGGGAGCTTGGCAACAGAGCCGTGACGTCAACACACCAGGGCTCGAAACTGTGACCATTTTGGTTGCACATGCACCCGAAATTTAATCTATGCGACCTCATAATACATTAGGGGGCATTTGTGTGACTGTATATAAAGGTAGCAGTGTGACCTGTAGTGTCCCTGCTGCTATTTTGGGTTATATTAGCTGTTGATCACTCAAGGCTGTCAAATGACAGTGAGCTTTTGTGACCGTGGGAAATGCAAACGGCTGAACAGACTTGCAAACCCCACCTAAAGTTACAAATAATGACACTGATGAGAGTGATCATGTGGTGAATGTTGATCCGCCAGCCGAGATCAATCCAGTGTTTTTGGAGAAGGTGCCTGAATCTCGATGTGTTGCATTCACTGCGTGTTCAGCGCTAATCTCTGCTAAATGTAAACCTTAACAGTGTACACATCATTGCCAAAGAAGCTCGTCTTTACTAAGTTTAATCTGATGCAGCTCATAACAAAGAGCGGTATTGTGCAGGTGGTCACCGGGAGAATCTTGCTCTGCCTGCTCATATATTGGGGCCGGCCGACTTGCCTGCTTTACTCCACAAATACAGAGAACTGTAAATCAGCTCATAACGAGACTGAGCATTTACAATCACACAAACTCAAACCCAAACCTTTAAAGAGGCAGAAGTGAGACTTGACTTCCTTCCTTTTGTCCATTCTTTCTTGAGGTGTTTATTATTCTATTTAGTCACTCATGACTAAAGTTTTTAACTTGTTTAGCATTGAATTAAATCATTTATTAAAATATTCTGTTTGTTTTGTAGCAGAAATATTATTTATTAAACTGACATGCATGTAAAAACAATAGTGCAAAATCATATTCCATACTGCAATGCTTCATTTGTGTTTGATGCAAACCATACATTTATTTTTCATGATAACAGTGAAAGACAGACTTTTTATACCACATAACTCACATCCCAACACATTCAAGGCAGCATGATCATGAGAAATGTTGGTATTATTGTCATCATCGTCATCATTACTATTTAATAATTATTACACATACATTTTGGTCAAGTCATCACAGCATTAGTTAGTTGTTTCAGGTTTTTTGCTTGTCCTGATTGATGTTGTTTTCAAATCCAGTAAATCCCTCAATATAGTTTGCAGTGGTGCTCATTCATTTTTGGTGGTGCTCCTGCATTTTTGGTGGTGCTCCTGCATTTTTGGTGGTGCTCATTCATTTTTGGTGGTGCTCCTGCATTTTTGGTGGTGCTCCTGCATTTTTGGTGGTGCTCATTCATTTTTGGTGGTGCTCCTGCATTTTTGGTGGTGCTCCTGCATTTTTGGTGGTGCTCCTGCATTTTTGGTGGTGCTCCTGCATTTTTTTTTTTTGGTGCTCCTAAATATTTAAAGTTGGGAGCACTGGTGTAAAAAGGATCATTTCGAGCCCGGGCACAGAATTTATCGACACAGTTCAGCACGATTAGCCCCTTTCACACATACAGACCTTTCCGGAAAATTACCGGCGATTTTCCGGAAAGCTTGTATGTGTGAACAGGTCCTTTTTGAAAATACCGGTAAATTCGTTCTGGCTATTTTCCGGAAAGAGAAGTTGTAACATTACCGGCAATTTGCCGGAATGCTGCGCTGTGTGAATGCAGAAGGAAGACTGCCGTAATAAGCGCGTGCATGTCTAGAATGTGCTGACGTGAGACGTCTGCTTTAGCCAATCACAACAGTCAGACGCATTTACTTCTGCGCGGTTTGTGAGAATAAAAGCCTTTAAATATTTTTCCAGACACATTTAGCTGCTAGAAGTTAGTCAGATCACGTTTATATGTTCTTCTTAATGCCACCTGTGTAAATAATCATCAATAAGATGCTTATGATAAGCCGTTGTTTTCACCTTCAAGCTTTGCGTGTGCCTGTGAAACAGCCTGTGAGCGCCTGCACAATTATGAACATCTCGACATGCGAAAGTGATCCTGCGAAAGTTGTTCACAATATTGATCATCAACTGAGTTTGTAATTTAGTCAAATGTTTACAAACACAAGCGCAGCCGTTTAAAGCTCATTTGTGGTGAATGATGTCAGAATTTACCGGTATTTTGGAATGGATGTGTGAATGCTCTTTTCCGGAAAATTTCCGTAACGTCCTCGCCTGTGTGAACAGCGCTTTTTTCAATATACCGGTAAAGTCGTTCCGGAAATTTTCCAGATATTTACCGGGATCACTGTGTGAAAGGGGCTATTGTCTAACCGTGCCTAGAATGGTTTTTAACCGTGCTTCGTTATTCCAGGCTCAGTGGCAGGCCCGGATTAAGAACTCAGGGGCCCCTGGGCACATTGTCTTGTATGGCCCCCTACCCGACCGCAACCCTTTAGTTGAATTAAAAAAAAAAAAAAGAATAAGATAATAATTTTAAAATAATAAGAATTTTTAATTTGTTGCCCACATATTTAAATGAATGTATATATATAGTATAAGCTATATATACAAAGATATAACTTATTTTCAAAGTATTGAAAAAAATACTAATAAAATTTGTGAAAATTCATGTTTTTTAGTATACTTGTTCAAGTTCACTGAAACACTACTACATACATTATAGTACAAATATATATATATATATAATTTTAAAGTGTGTTTGTAATGTATAACTTTTATAAACGTATAAAGCACATTATTGGCATGGCATTAAACACACAATGCCTCTCCAATCTAGTTCTGTGGATCTGAGTCTTTCATAACACAGACACACTTATTAATGATTTGCTGTCTCTCTCCTTCTCTCCCGGTATTTTCTCTACTCTCCTCGTGATGAAAAGTAGGCAATCAGCATTGATCAACTTGACTATAAACCTAATGTTGCTAACATTTAACACCAGGTGGAAAATAACTGTTTATAGAATATAACCACTATTTAGATGCTCATATGAAATAGGCTAACGTTAAACATTATTAAATACCCACGAGGCACTTGTGACTTTACAGTATATCACATTTGAATAATTTAATATTTTTTCCAGTTAAAACTAAATATATCTCTAATCTGATATGTACAGGGAGAGAAAAAGTAGCATGAGTTCAGCAGATGGTGGATTCGAACCGGGTTGATGATCGAAGATGTTTTGCTGTGCGCTTTACCTGGTACTCCACTCACGCTGTAATTCTAATTCACTCTTAACTCATGTTGTCTCTGTCAATCAGGCAGTGATGGGCGTAAACCATGAACAGCTTATTCCAACTAGGTGCGCTATTTACACTTAGCCTAAAAAGACACTCTGAAATTGGCTTTTTTCCTTCCCTCACAGAGGCCCCAAGTGCGCACGGGCCCCTGGGCCTGTGCCTATAAGGGCTATTGGTTAATCCGGCACTGCTCAGTGAAGAATTAAGTGTAACCGTACCAAACTGTTCTTAGACGAGCGGCTATTGACATTGATGACATATATGACATTGATTAAACACTATGGACAAAGGCCCATTGTGACATCTTGATGAATCCCTCTGCTTTACCTGACTGCATATGTTATCTGCAATGTGTTACTCCATTTGGAAAGAGATTTCATGTACGCCACTACAGTTGCAGCTGGTATAATTTTTTTGAAGGTATTAAAAAGGTTGTAAAAGGTATTAAATTAAGCATAAGAAGTTCTGTATATCCCCTGATTTAAGTTAATTGCACTGTTTATTTATTTAGTTTTCATTTATTCTTTTCATTTTCAGTTTAATAATTCTTTATTTTAAATGTTTTTATTGATTATATTATTTATTATTGTGTTTTTATTGTAAATATTTAACAAATCTCAGGTGTTTTGTGTTGGTGTAAACTGACAGTGTCAGAGGACTGCTGTTCTCTCTCCACGTCTGTCAATCCTGAAAATGAGTCCATCTCTCCACACACACGCCTGGGTTAATCAGTGTGTGTGTGTGTGTGTGTGTGTTTATTGTGGTGTAAACAGTGGTGTGTAATTAGTGTGTGTGTGTGTTCTAATCCTGAAGCCCGTGAGTGGAGGATTATGGCTGATTTCTGCCCTCGCTGTCTCTAGATTCATAAATTATGCATTATTGTTTGACAATACAAAATTGAAATGAGCTTTTATTGTCATAACAACCAGTTTCCCTGTTGCACACACACACACACACACACACACACACACACACACACACACACACACACACACACACACACACACACACACACACACACACACACACTTACATATACATA